TGTTGTGCTGTAGAAACCAAAGACATCTGTCCATCTGTTACCCATGAGTCAGTCTGTCAGTCTGATAATTGTTATTTGCTTCTTGATTTATGTTTTACTGTAGAAAACAATGAGAATGCACTGAAAACAAACAGGCATCATTAAGTAATTCGTTTATCTGGGTATGATGTGGACTTATAATGAAGTTATTAGGTATGTGCTGCATCTCAAAATGCACGCGATCGACATTCTCTCGAGCTTTTCTAGCTTTTTTCATACATGACTTATAATAAGGTATTTTGCCTTATAAAACATTTTTGTTAAAAATTTAGCTGTTCTTGTTCAGTTGGAAAATATAATTAAAATTAACTAGACAACGTTGCTTTTAAGTTCATATTTCCTTGGTTCTATAGCATAAAATCAACATAGCATAGCATTCTATAGCATAAAATCAACAAATACTTCAAAATTTGATGTGTGTATATCTAGTTATAGCGTTTTTTCATCACATAAATTACAGGTTATTGCCATGAAACATGAAATAAATAAACTTCCTCTTCCACTAGCGATTTTGTTTAATATTATAAACATCAAAGTTGTGGTAGATGTTCTCATATCGATTCTATAGTTTCCTTTACAACTGTTACCATGGTTTCCTAACACTGACTGCAACATGAGTATTATTACTACAATAGTTGTTGACATTAACACTTCCATATTTTCCAATACTCCTGTTACTATGGTTTCTTACCAATAACTATAACATAAGTATTTTCTACTATTATTGCTACAATAGTTGTACACACTAATACCTTCATAGTTTTCTTTACTCCTGTCACCGTGATTTCCTAACTAACTACAACATAAGCATTTCCTATTATTATTATTATTATCATAGTTGTCCACACTAACACTTCCACTAACCATGGTAACTCCTGTTACCATGGTTTTCTAACACTAACTACAACATGAGTATTTCCTAGTATTATTGTTATCATAGTTGTACACAGTAATACTGCGATAGTTTTCTTTACTTCTGCTACCATGGTTTCCTACCACTAGCTACAACATTATTTTTCATTACCCCTAATTTGGTTTACATGATACGATGTAACGCATGTTTTTTGTTTAGCATATAAAATTCTCGTATAGAACAACCAAAGCACTTATTTTCACGTGTAACATCATTAATGATGCAATTTCCAGAGAGGTTTAACAATAAAAAATCAACGTCAACAAAATATTAGTGAAAAGGCTCAACATTTAACTTTATGGACGTAAATAATTTTATCTTTATGTGTGAATCCATTCAATTGAAAATCCTTCCTAAGAACTCCTTATCGTACTTCTTTGATGAGAAAGTCACTTAAATATTCATACGATAAAACCGTTATTTTCTGCCTTTATTCCAGCTTTCTTTGTTCCTTAAGAACACCCTCGCTCGCTGTCAAGGAATTATGAGTTAAGATGGTCCACTTGAAACAACTAGGGAGAAAAAACAGAATATATTTCTCGTGGTTTAGAGACATATGAACATTCACTCAATATAGTCTATCTTTAATAAAAGTGGGCACAATTCTATCAGCACTGTGCTTCTAATGGACTAAGTTATCTTCTTTTTTTCTTGATGATCTTTTTCACGTGCAAATCTGTCACAGTCCTCAAGGAATTGTTTGTCTTTTTGTTATTTTAAATCAAGATCTTTATAGCTTGATATATCTTGCATTTACTAGCCATGACTCAAAGTACAGAAATGTTCAGCAATTTTTTACTTCTATTTCATTTTATTTATTTTCTTTTTACCCCGACTCCTCACATTCCATTTACTTACTAGCCAATCTCTACTTATTAATTTTCCCATCTACAATCTTTTCTATTTCTGTCTGGAAATCTTACTTTATTTTGCTCTCATTTGCTGCTCCTTTAGTGACTACGTTGCCATTTTTATCTGCTTCTTTGTTTTATGTATATGCGCTAATTGTTTCTATATTTTTTCTTTTAATTCCATTTTTTCTATCATTAAATATTTCTCCTTTCTCTATTGCTAATATTCAGCATTTAAAGTGTTTTATAAATTTTTCTTTCAATTTTTCATTTCACTCCATGGCTTTATTAATTATTATATTCTCGCTCCCCCCCCTCTTTCTTTATTTCGCTTCAAACTCTCCTCTTTATGAAAAATGAATTTTAAGTTTTGTATTTGTCGTATAAACCTAATGTCATCAGATTGGGTTTCCACATTAAGAATTGGAAGATATATATATATTTCTAACTCAATTACGTACTGCATGTGTTCATATGTAATGCGGTCCTTCAATCTTCTCTTGGGTTCAAGAACTTTCAAATACAGAGAAACACGGGCTGTAGTTTCCGCTGCAGCTGACGGCTGGTTGTGATTGAAAACACGTTGTTTTGGTTCTGTAAGAAGCAGTCTAAAGTCATGTAAGAGACCAAAAGAAATAAATTCAGCATTGCAGTGTAATAGTCAGATGTTCTAGAAACCGTACATAAACTAAGAAACAACACTAAAGCTATGAAATGAACGTTTTTATATCGGTTCTAATTCGAAGAAATAAAGACTAGCCTCAGCCAAGCAGAAAAAGTGTACAAAACATAATAATTTAGGTATCTGTCAACACATGGACTTAATGAACAAATGATAATCCAGGTATTGATCAACACATGGATTTAATAAACAAATAACAATCTATCTATCCATCAACACATGGACTTAATAAACAAATAACAAGCTATCTATCCTTCAACACGTGGACGTAACACAGATATAACAATATCTGTCAATCAAGACATGGACTTAATGAACAAATAATAATCCAGGTATTGAGCAACACAGGGATTTAATAAACAAATAACAATCTATCTATCCATCAACACATGGACTTAATAAACAAATAACAATCTATCTATCCTTCAACACGTGGACGTAACACATATATAACAATATCTGTCAATCAAGACATGGACTTAATGAACAAATAATAATCCAGGTATTGATCAACACATGGATTTAATAAACAAATAACAATCTATCTATCCATCAACACATGGACTTAATAAACAAATAACAATCTATCTATCCTTCAACACGTGGACGTAACAATATCTGTCTATCAACACGTGGGCTTAACACCCATAAAGGGCACTGAACATATTTACCTATCTTTACTGATTAAACTAGTTTGTGTTTGTGCTACTTGTGTTCCTACCAAAGGTCAAGACTTACAGTTGTTTGTTTCAGATATTCACACAAAGATACACAAGAGTTCTAGGTATTAGTCGTTCCTAATTTGAATTAATAGAGTAGAGTGAAGGCAACTAGTCAACAGCATCCATCACCAACCTTTGGGTTACTCTAATTAAATAGGCGAATTTGACCTCACTCCTATAACACATCCAGGGTCTCAAAGTATGGAGCCGTGATTTCGCATTAAGACGCTAACCATTGATCTCGGATTAACAGTCCAGCACGCTACCACTCATTCCATGTCCAACCGACAAACTACAAACATAACAATTAAATCCATTGGCGAACAACAACAAAAGAATCAACTCTTTAATTTTTAATTAAAATCGTTACCGTATCTCTGTTATACATAAGGACATAACAAATTTTCACAATAGATACTTTTTTTCCAGGATGGATAAAATATATGAATATTACTAGACTACTTTACAAAATTATATTGAATTATGAAATTATTAGACTTCTGTATTTAAGAAACACCGATTCTAATTATTTTTATTTAGGTATGTGTTTTGTTACGAGGATGTGCAACAAAAACAAAAATGGTTTCTATTCTTTAAAGCGCTGCTGTTCAAATATAAGAAAATAAGTTTTTATATTTTTGGAATACTCGAATGTATACCATTCTTGACCATCGAGGTAAAATTTTACAAATATTTAGGGGGAAAACGCAGACTTACTTATTTCATGATTTCAATGGGCATCAGAGTTGTTGTTTATTATTGAAATTATATCTATATGTATGCTCAGCGAGCTTCTATTCCTGTAAAAACTTTGTGCTTAATGTTACACCAGCCCCCCAGTGGCACAGCGGTATGTCAGCGGACTTGCAACACTAGAAAACTTCGATACCCGTGATGAACAGAGCATAAATAAGCCAATGTGTAGCTTTGTGCTTAACTTCAAACAAGCGAATCAGCGTTACACCAATGTTCTAAATAATCAAATTTACTGTGTGTTTTGGTTTTCCCCTGTTCAATATGAATCTTTTTAGTTATTATTCAATGGAAGAATACTACATGAAATATATTAACTTAAATAATAAAAACGTGTTGTGGGTATTTTGAATTTTTCTAAACTTTTCTTGGGAATGTTGTATATATATAGGTATTGAGTGAAATGATAGAACTGGTAGCTAATTAATTAATTTGGTCCCTTAGTTCACTGGAGTAATTTGACCGTCCACACCTAAGTTTTCTAGATGTCCTGATTATGATATTTGGATTCTTTAATCATGATGAACTATATGATCCTAAGAAGTGTAAGCCGAGAATATACTGTGATTCTTGGAAGCAGAAGGATGAATTCTAAGTTACTATTTTTATAATGTTATATTACACCTTTTTTCCAGAGAAGACGTGCACTTAAGATGAAGAACTTGAGCTACAAAGAAAGTGAGGGACTGAATATTGTCAAGTTTAAAACCCTCTAGTCCATCAGTAATCCTCTATCATCTGGACTAAGAAATACATCAGAGAAAAATATTACCAAGGGCTTTTTTTCTATTGATGCCACGTCCTCAGCAAAGGGGTGATTTAATAAGTCCACAGTACAGTGGTCAGCTAAGTGCGAGACACCGAGAAGGAAGAGTGATCAGGCTTAATCATCGCTGCAACCTGTCGCTCAGAGAGCTCGAGGCAGGCGTGTATCACGTGACGATATCAGGCATTAGCAGCAGATTCTGAGAGCTAGTTCTACTGCGGGCGATGATAGTTGGAGTTTGTCTTCTGATGCACGCTGCGAGAGAAAGCGAGAAGGCTGGATTTCTATCCGGTGTCTAGCTGGGATGGTGCGTGTTCTAAAGTACTTAAAAACCAATAATTCATCATGCAGCTTCGGAAACTACAGCTTGAAGCAGGGAGTTCGGTGTAGTTAACCAAAAGTTGTGAAAGGCTGACAGTAGTCGTTCAAACAGTTACAACGCGTTTAAAGCGTTTCTTTTGTTCTAAGATTCTCTAACTGATTAGTGGTAGTTGAGAAGAAAGAAAGTTTGGCCAGTGCAACTCTGTTTCCACATTTTATGTGAACATCGCTTTTCAATAAGCCATCGTATTCGTGTGCTAAGCGACAGAAGTTTCGGCAAAAGATATTAGTTCAGTAACTACATGAACCAGTTGACAACTGTTTCCAAATCTATACTGACTGGTAATGGATTATTTACACATATGGTACCACGTATATAGCTAATCTTCTAAATCAAACGTGAAATCCAAAACATTCCAGCTTTCAACATGTGAGATAGATGTTCAAGATTGCTGAAGTATTCACAATGTTCACTGCTCTCTCATTCCTCTGTTGCCTTGGATATTGTTACCGTATGTAAACGACTTTGTTTATCGTTCATTAGAGTTATTTGGTTAATGTAATGGATGTCATTAATTATTAAACCGGCGTTCGTGCCTTTGTTGTGAACTTCGGTTTATGAAATAAGTTATTTATGGATGTTTCAACAGTTGTTTACTAACAGAAGTTATTCGGTAACTTTCCATTTTTTTTCAATTATAATAACACGTGTCAAAGTAAACAATTCTATGTTGTTTTTTAACACAAACATAGATACATTGAAACTTATAAAGAGTTGTTTAATTCTTAGAGTATGATTTACAACAAAATTCTTAACTTATTAAACATAACATTACAAACTCTACATCTAAAATTCTAAAAAACAAATAAACTTGAATTATCTTTAAGCACTTATCACCATTTATTAGAAAGTTCGGTTCCTATACTATTTTCCACAAAGGTATTTAAGTAACTTCTACGAAATAATAATGAGCGTTTTTATCAATAGAGAGGGCTGAATATCGTGTGGATATAATATTGTCAAAAAATTAATGTTTATTAGAAAAGCGTGTGTTACTTTACATAGAGAATTTCCTAAATAAACATTTTAGACCTGAGTAAATTAGTTATTATATACAAGTAACTTGAAAGAACATTTTTTTAAAGAAGAAGAAATAAGTGAATAAGTAGAAAGAATTGTCTGAAAATGAATATTTATTACAGGATCTCAGTTACGTAACAATTACTCTCCCAAAATGATTTTTTCATAAGCGAAAATAGTTCATGTATTAAATATAAACAACTCCTTGGAAATGAATTTTCCCACGATGAACAGATATTATGCGAGTCCCACTATATGAATATTCATTGTACAGTTAGCTATTAAGCAAAACACGGCTCTCTAAAGTTTCACCAGAATTATTATCTCGAAATCATTCTTTGAGATACTCATAAGAGGAGAACAATTCTTATTTAAAATAGAAATATGTAAAAATGTTAATAAGGTAATATTTCAAAACAACTCTAAATTATGAACGCTTATTAGTGAAGATTACTTAACATTTAGAAATAATGATGTTAATTAAAAGAGATAAGTTTTATGTTAAAACAGCTCTTAAACAGTGAAAAATCATTTGGAGGGAGGCGTTTAATGTTTAGGGGCAACTATAGTAGAAATGAATGCCTATTAGAATAACGTTCTTATGGGAAAACAACTCTAATCAGTGAATGCTTATTGGAGGAGCTTAGTTAAGGTTTAGAGATAACAAAAGGATGCTGTAGAATAAGTCGAAACTTAATATGTAAAAATAAATCTCTGTACAAATTAGTGTTTGTAACTGATGTGGCCACAAAGCTGTTTATAAAATATTTTTCTTGCACAAATTCAATTATTGCACAAAAGTAAATCTTTACACTTATCCGGTTTCCTTTATTGATTGAAAACAATTCAATCAGAAACATACTTTGTAAGAAGAACCAAGAAATTTCTAAAAATTATCTGTAAAGAAGTTGTGATTACTAGAACATTTTAGCTATTATAGAAAACATCAAGACGATGGACTGTCTTTAATAAATGTGCTTACAAGAAAGCACAATCGGTATCAAAACATTTCTTTGAAATAACTGACGCTCAACATCGGGTTCCTAATTATGTAGAAATAAATCCTTCAACATAATTGTTACTTATCAGATGGATTCCTTTGTTTGAGAAAAATATCTTTTAAGAAATATATGTTTGTCGGGGGGGGGGGTTGAATTAGTGTAATATTTTATATGTAAATATGATACACCTGATTAGCTAATCATTGTCCTTCTGTGGGAAAGACGTAAAGTTATGGACTTAAAATGCTAAAATCTTGGGTTCGATTCTTTTCGGTAGATAGAACACAAATAATCCATTTTGTGGGTTAGCTCTAAAACGAAAGAAATAAACACGCAATTAGCTGATTATTTTACACATGCATTAAATGTAAAACAGATAATATACATAAGTTACTGGAGCGTAGCCAAGAAACATCAAATTAAGTATTTGATTTAAATCAGAGATATGTAGTTAGATCAATAATTTAACAAAATATTGGTATTCCACGCGCCATTCTCACGGTCTGTTTGTTGTCTACAGTGTTGTACTTTTCACAACAAAGTTTTCATTGTTTAGTTTAAGAAGAACAGTTCAATGTAACAGAACTAGGTGAAATATCCTATTCGATTTGTTAGGAATCTTCTGACTTTATAGTACAATATCTTGTGAAAGGGTTTAGAGTAAACTGTTACAAAGGGTTTGTTCTTTTAATTTGGGTTTGGAAAATCATTTTAGACTGTCTACGTTTTTATTGTTTTTGTGAGTTATTGTCTAGTTCTCATTATTTTTAAGCATTAGTGTATGTGTTTTTATTGTTTTTAAGGTTATTAATGCTTTGTTAGTACAGATTATGTATTTTTGTCATGTTGTTAGTATCTGTTTCTCAGATTTTATGTGTTTTTGTCAAGTTTTTAGTGTTTTTTCTCAGGTTCTGCAAGTTTTTGTTACGTTGTCAGTATTTTTAAGCTTTAGTGTATATGTATTTTCTGTTGTTTTTTTCAGGTTGTTAGTGCTTCGTTAGTGCAGATTGTGTATTTTTGTCACGTTCTTAGTATCTGTTTCTCGGATTTTATGTGTTTTTGTCAAGTTTTTAGTGTTTTTTCTCAGGTTCTGCAAGTTGTTGTTACGTTGTCAGTATTTTTAAGCTTTAGTGTATATGTATTTTCTGTTGTTTTTTTTCAGGTTGTTAGTGCTTTGTTAGTGCAGATTGTGTATTTTTGTCATGTTCTTAGTATCTGTTTCTCGGGTTTTATGTGGTTTTGTCAAGTTTTTAGTGTTTTTTCTCAGGTTTTGTAAGTTGCTGTTACGTTGTCAGTATTTTTCAGGTTTAACGCATGTGTTTGGTTGTTATGTTGTCAGTATTTTTTATCCGATTCTGTGTTTTTGTAAATTCATACATTGTAGTCAAGTGTTTTTCAGCTTTAGTGTGGGTTTTGTCACATTATTAGTATATTTTCTAAGCTTTTTTTGTATCTATGCAAGGTTGTTAATATGTTTCTTCGATTCTGTGCGTTCTTGTCAGATTGTCAGTATTTTATCTCATGTTATATGCGTTCTTATAAGGTTTTGAGTGTTCTTGTCAAACTCTTGGTATTTTTTATCTATAGTGTGTATTATTGACAGTTTGTTAGTATTGTTTCTCAAGTATTATTTGCTTTACTGAGGTTCTACATGTTTTTAATGTTGTTAGAATTTCTTCTCAGGTATTATTTGCTTTACTGAGGTTCTACATGTTTTTAATGTTGTTAGAATTTCTTCTCAGGTATTATTTGCTTTACTGAGGTTCTACATGTTTTTAATGTTGTTAGAATTTCTTCTCAGGTATTATTTGCTTTACTGAGGTTCTACATGTTTTTAATGTTGTTAGAATTTCTTCTCAGGTTCTATGTGTCATTGTCAGGTTCTGTGAGCTCTTTTCAAGCTGTTATTGTTTTTCAGCTTTAGAATAGCATTTTTGCCAGACTATTATTTTTTTCCTCTTAGATTCTATGTTATCTTGGCAGGTTGTTAGTATTTTTTTCAGGTTTTATATGTTTTTCTCAGATTGTTAGTATATTTTATCAGGTTCAATATGCTCTTGACAGGTTCTGTTTTCTTGTCCCGTTGCAAGTGTATTTCAGCTTTAGTGTGTGTGTTTTTTGCTAAATTGTTAATATTTTTATCAGGTTCTATGTTTTTTGCAAGGTTCTGTGTTCTTGTCACGTTGTTTATCTTTTTTCAGCCTTAGTGTGTGGTCAGGTTATTGGTCAAGCTACTAATGTTTTGTTTCTGTCTTTTCCTGTCAAATTTTTTAGTGTTGCACACACTACTGTCAGGTTTTATTTGTTTTTTTTTCAGATTGTTAGTGTTTTCTCAGATTCTAGGTACTTTTGTCAAATTACTAGTGTTGTGTGTGTTCTCTTCAAATTGCTGGAGAGTTCTTGTCAAATTATGTGTGTGTGTTTTCAGGGAATTGTCTTCTATACTCCTGTCATTTTCTGTATGTTTCTGTTAGTGTAGTTTGTATTTTTGTCAATTTCCTAGCATGTTCTTCTCCGCTTTTGTGTAAATTTCTCGAATTGACTGTGTTTTATTGAGATGTTTGAATAATATTTACTTGTATTACATGTTTAGTTTATTGTGTGTTATTATCAGTTTTTTTGTGTGGTTTATCATGTTGTCGGTCTGTTATTGTCAGAGTGTTTCTACTTTCTTTAATTTTAGTTCACATGGTTCAAGGTGATTCGTGAAGGGTATGTACAATTGAGGTGTGTAGAGAAATTAAATATTTGTTCTAGATATTAAAATAAGAAATAACAATGCATTACCTTTCTAAGAGCCTGTTCAAACCAAAGGTTTCTAGCAAGAACGAAGTCTTAATATGGTCAGTCATAACGTATGTAATCATAGCACTGTAATGAATTATTTTCTTTAAAGTTACTGTAAAAAAGTTGAAACAATTCAAACTAATATAATGAATATATACTTGTATTAATAGATCATACGTCTTATTATATAATCTGTTGTTGTTGTATATAGTGATTAGCTTTTGATGTGAACCGAATATCAAATATTACATATAGCAATAGAACATTCTCAAAACATTTTTCAGCTTAAAAGTATAGTTATAAATTTCGGATACAATTTTCACGTTATTTTTTATGACTTTTTACGATTAAAACCATTTTTGTTATAGCTAGATCATACGTTTACGTCCATGATTAAAGTACTGTTGCACAAGTTATCAAGGTCTCATGTTCAAATACATGACTATAAAAGTGTTGTACAAGATATGTAGGAGTACTAAACTTACGTACATGACAATAACAAGCTTCATACATGTCCTCTTTTATGTTATGCTTAGCTCATAATTATTTACAACAGCGTCATGAAATGTTATGTTTGGCTACATGATTTATTGTACAGACGTTTGGGATCTTGTGATTAAATACATTATTAACACGGTATTGT